GAGAAAGGTAAGTCTCTTCAATAAATGGTGTTGGGAAAACTGGACAGCCACATGCAAGAAAATGAAAGTAAGCCATTATCTTACACCATACACAAAAATTAACTCAAAATAGATTAAAGTCTTGACAGTAGGATGTGAAACCATAACACTCCTAGAAGAAAATATAGGTAGTACACTCTTCGACATCGGTCTTAGAAGCATCTTTTCAAATATCATGTCTACTCAGGCAAGGGAAACAAAAGAAAAAATAAACAAATGGGGCTATATCAGATTAACGAGCTTCTGCAAGGCAACGGAAACCAGGAAAAAAATGAGAAGACAACCAACCAACGGAAGAAAATACTTGCAAATCATCTATCTGACAAGGGGTTAATCTCTCAAATATATAAAGAACTCATAAAACTCAACAACAAAAAACCAAACAACTCAATCAAAAAATAGGCAGAGGATATGAACAGACATTTTTCAAAACAAGATATACAGATAGCCAACGGGCACAGGAAAAGATGATCAACTTCACTACTTATTAGGGAAATGCAAATCAAAACTACAATGAGACATCATCTTACATCTGTTAGAATGGCTATAATTACCAAGACAAAAAAATCACAAATGTTGGAGAGGATGTGGAATATACTAAAACTCACTGATTTGTACACTTTAATTGGGTGAATGTATCATATGTAAAGTATATCTCAAAGATGTAAAAAGAGCATGAAACAAGAGTTTATAAAAAATGACCAAACATATTTGAAGGAGAACCAAGTAGAATTTTTAGACAGAGCTCACGACGGCATTAACAAAGTGGAATAGGAATCCTAAATAAATTATCCAAAGTACAGCTGAGGAGCTGTATGAAATGACAGAGCAGAGGAGCTGGAAGAAATGACAGAGATTTTAAGAGACAGAGAGGACGGAATGAGAAAGTCTAACACACATCTCATCAGAATCCTAGAAAAGAGAAAAGGAAGAAAAGGGAGGCAGTATTCAAAAAGATAATGGCTCCAATATCCCTTCATGATAAAAATACTCAATGACTTAGGTACAGAAGAGAACTTTTTCAACCTGATAAAGGGAAGGTTTTAAGAAAGAACTTCAAAGTATGCTACTCAAAGCATAATCCTGGCCTGAGCAGCATGGGCATCATCTGGGAGCTTATTAGAAATGCAGATCTCAGACTCTGCCTCAGACCTGTTGCATCAGAATCTGCATGCGAACAGCCTGATGATTCATGCGCACAGCACAAGGTGAGAAGTATTGCTCTAAGGTTCTTTTTTCTAAGTAAACCCCACTGCTGACATCATATTTAATGGTGAAAGAATTAATACCTTCTCCCTAAGATCAGGGATAAAACAAGGATGTCCACTTTCACCTCTTATATTCAACACTGTACTGGAGGTTCTAGCCAGGGAAATTAGGAAAGAAAAAGATATAAATGGTATCCAGATTGGAAAGGAAGAAGTAAAACTATTTCTATTTGTAGATGCCATGATCTTGTATATAGAAAATCCTAAGGAGTCCACTAAAAAATTATTCAAATTAATAAATGAGTTTTTTAAGACTACAGAATACATCAATACACAAAAATCAAATGTATTTCTATACACATGCAATGAACAATCCAAAAATGAAATTAAGAAAACAATTCCATCATAATAGCATCAAAAAGAATAAAATACTTAGAAATAAATTTAATAAAAGAGGTACAAAACTTACACTTTGAAAACTATGAAACATCGCTGAAAGAAATTAAGACTTAAATAAATAGAAAGATAGCCTGTGTTCACAGATTTGAAGACTTAATATTGTTAAGATGGTGATACTCCCCAAAGCAATCTATAGATCCAATACAACCCCTATTCAGCTGGATTCTTCGCATAAATTGACAAGCTGGTCCTAAAATTTGTATGGAAATGCAAGGGACCCAGAATAGCCAAAACAATCTTGAAAAAGAACAAAGTTGGAGGATTCATACTTTGCAACTTCAAAACTAAATACAAATCTAGAGTAATCAAGATGGTGTAGTACTGGCATAAGGATACATATAGATCAATGAACAGAAGTGAGAGTTCAAAAATAAACCCTCACATTTATGGTCAATTGGATTTCAACAAAAGGTGCCAAGACAATTTAATGGAGAAAGAATCACTTTCTCAACAATTGGTGCTGGGAAAACTGGATATCCACAAGCAAAGGAGTAAAGTTGGACCCCTACCTCACACCATGTGCCCCTTCCTCTGAGTCCAGCAGGGGCAGGTCTCTCTGTGGCTGGAGAAGGAAGCCCCTGCATGGTAGTCACAGTCAAATGATCTTGAAGCTGGGCTGCCTAGGCCTACTTTCCCCTACTCCATTCTCTCCCAAATGATCTGGGAGAGCCCTGCCTCCCCACAGAGAGATTTTCATGAACAATCCTGAGTGAGCTCTTTGGAGTGAGGCAATGGGGTCCATGGGAGCAGAGTGGCCAGGGTCTCCTTCCCCAACCAAAGTAGTTCGGTTCCAGCAAACCTTTCCAGAGGGGCAAGGCTGTCCACTGAGCTGGGCCTCCCTCCAGGGGCCAGGGTTAATAAAGCTTGATGCTCACAGATAAGGCTAAGTGGTGCCTGGGTAAAGCCATCCTCTCTCCTGCCTAAAGGAGTGGGCCCAGGCAGCTGGAGTGGGCAGGTGACCCTGCCCCAAGCCATAGCTGATTGGACCAAGAATGTACACTTAACCCAAGAAGAGTCAATTACACTCTCCCTCCAGAAAGACATAAAGTAAGTAGTCAGGTGATACTGGACACTGAGGCTGGGAAGTCCTAGAAAATAAGGGCAAGCCTGGGCTGAGACTGGGGCTAGAAATTGAGAGGTGGTGTAGGGAGAACAGATAGGGAAATAGCAGATCTCAGGGAGAAGCTAAGGCCAACTCTGGAGGGAATAAGGCCTGGAGGGAGAGGAGCCTGGGGTGTGCTTGCTGTGGATGAGCTCTGTGGTCTGCTTCTCAAAGTGTGGTCCTGGACTAACAGCCTGGGCATCATCTGAGCACTTATCAGAACTGCAGATCTCAGGCTCTACCCTAGACCTGCTGCATCTGAATCTGCAACCTAACAAGACCCCTGGTGATTCATGTGCACAGCACAGGGTAAGAAAGGCTAGTCCATGTCACCTTCAGAATTCGTGTTAACAAATCCTTTCACTCAAGCTTCTTTGAGTGGGCTTCAGCTCCTCATAGCCAACAAGGTCAGTAAAGGTGTCAGCTTAACTAAAAATGTAAAGAATGAACTCAATCAGAAGAAAGTCTTTCGAATTATGACGCAAAATGTAGAAGACAAGAAAGAAAAGACTGGTACACTTGATTTCATAAAAATCAACAAAATAACTGCAAAAAAACATAAGTAGAGCCAAAAGACAAATGACAAACAGGGAAAAATATTTGCAACTCATATCATAAAGAGCTAATCTCTCCAATATCTTAAGAGATCCTACAAATTTGTAAGTAAAAGACCAACAACCAATAGAAAAATGGGCAAAAATATGAACAGGCAGTTTGCAGGAAAAGGAAACATTTGAAAAAAAACTCAACTTCACTCATAATAAAAGAAATGCAAATTAAAGCTACATCGAGAGACCATTCTTCACCTTTCAGATTGGAAAAAAATGAATAGTGGGATAATACATCTTATGGTGAGGCTTGGGCAACAAGCATCCCATATACGCTCCTGTGGGAGTGCTGATGGGTCCAGCTCCTGGCACTATCCATCAAAAGTACAAATGTCCTTTTGACCAAGAAATTCACTTCCACAAATCTACCATTAACACATATTCACTTATGCGTGAATTCACATTTGTACAAGGTTAATTATCACAGCAATATTTACAACACACTCTTTTTTTTGGTGAGGAAGATTGTCCCTGAGCTAACATTTGTTGCCAATCTTCCTCTTTTTGCTTGAGGAAGATTGTCCCTGAGCTAACACCCATGCCAATCTTCCTCTATTTTTTTTGTATGTGGGACACTGCCACAGCATGGCTTGATGAGTGGTATATAGGTCCATGCCTGGGATACAAACCTGTGAACCCCAGGCTGCTGAAGTGGAGCACATGAACTTAACCACTACACCACCAGGCCAGCCCCATCACAGCAGTATTTCTAATAGTAAAGAAATGGAACCTCCTAAATATCCCTCAATATGAGATGAGTTAAATAAACTGTGATATATCCTTGCAATGGAGTACTACTATGCAGCTGTGAAAAAGAACACAGAAGCTCCCATGGGTTAACATGGATATACTATTACGTGGAAAAAGCAAGATGCAGAACAATATGAAGAGGGAATACTAGAAACAAGTGACAGGGCTTCCCTGTCAGAGGGCATTGATGAGAGCTGGGCCGATGAGATCTCGTATTTGTCCTTTCACGCTTTTTAATGTTTAAACGGAATGTATCACCTACTGAAATATAAATAAATACAACAAAAATATTTTTAAAAGGACGAACTCACTAGGGCAGTGACCCCATGTGCATCTGCCACCTACTGCGTAAGAACTGCCTCTGGGCACAGAGAAGTACACAGGAAACAGGCCCTCTGTGTTCTGGCTCCAGGCTGGGTCTTGACAGAGTGGAGACTCTCTGCTCCAGTCCAACCTGCTCAAGGAGTACAGGACCAGGCTTGGCCCACGGCTGACACTGGGTCTAGCCACCTGTGTAGGGTGGCCCTCATTGGAGAGGTCCTCCCCAACAGGCTGTGACCTCAGGGGATCCCCAGGCCCTGTCCTGGGCTGTGAACCACACATGGGCTGGCTTAGCACTCCCCAGCCATGGGCAGGCCTGGACATGTGGGACCCCTACTGGGTCCAGCCCAGTCCCAGGACTCTGGAGTTGGCAGAAAATACCCACTGACTCTGGGTGACTCCAGATCTCCCTGGGCTGGCATATTCCTCTTCCATCTCTCTGAAGTGAGGAGTGTCCTACTAATGAGGTCCCTGAGGCCCCACCTTCATGGAGACATCAACCCCCAGAGTTACCTTCTGTTCCGTTTTGACTTTGGCATTGTAGAAGGAGATGGAATCAGGGCCCTCGGGCAGCATTGTCTGCTGCAGCTGGCTGAACTTGTCCTGGTCATCTTCTCCCTAGGGGAGGCCCAACTCAGCTCAGTCCCTTCAGCCTGGCATTGTCAAGATCCACCCTGACAAGGCCTATGGTGGGCATCCTCAGGGCAGCCCCTCACTAGGTTTGCAAACCCCCACCAAGTGTAGGTCACAACTCCCAGCCCCAAGTTTGCCAGCATTATCACACCCTGTAACTGCCACCTCGGAAGGATGAGCCACCCAAGAAGGGAAGCAGTAAGTAGTGTTTTCTGTGTCCCCATCATCAATAACTGGGGAGAGACCTGTACCTGCCCACCTGCCTGGGCTGGCTATGGGAGGGGCTGGGAGCAGCCCATACACTGCCACGTTTGTGGAGAGAACAGAGGACAAGGGGCACTGATCACTGCCCTGTGCTCATCCATCATCCCCACCCCTGCCCTTGTGCCACTCACCAGAGACATGATCCTGCTGACAGGTATCATGCCCGGTCTGATGCTGCTACCCGGCTTTAGTGCCACCTGCATGTCCTCAGGGATGAAGAAGGACTCATTGTACCAGATGTCAAATTCTGCAAGGAAGTAGGAAGACAGCACTGTGAGGTGTGGAGGAGTCCCTGAGGAAGCAGGTACAGGCTGTGTGTGCCTGTCTGTCTGTTTTGTGCCTGTCACAGATTCACCCTCTGTTCACTTCCTGCTCCAGTGTCTCACCCTTTCCCATCATCATCTCCTGCCCTTACAGTCCTGGAAACACACATCTGAAGCCCCTGCCTAGCCCCTGCCTCTGCCAGAGAGAAGCTCTGAAACCACTCCTAGAGCCCAGGCAGTGGCCCTGCCCTGTGCCTTCTGGGACCTCAGGTGGCCCCCAACCTTCCCAAATGGCGCACCTGTGAGCAGGCGGTGGCGACACTGATCCACCAGGTGCTGGCAGTACTGGATCTCAGCCCTGAGGTCACGCAGGTCTTGATACTCAGTACGGTACTGCTTCTTGAGGTCTTTGAGCTTCAGAATCAGCAGGAACTCCTCCTCATCAATGATCATCAGCCCCTGGTTCTCATACTCACCTGCAGTGGAATGGATGTCAGGGAATGAGGTGCCCACCTAGGAGGGCAGGGAGGCATTCCAGAAAGAGGGGACGGTGCTGGCAACACATGAAGACAGGAGACCAGGGGAAGGGCTGGAGCGTGGCATGGGGGTGGGCAAAGCACAAGGAGCACCAGGGGCAGGGAGAGGGAGCTCAGATCAGAGGGCCACTCTGGCATTCTTAGGACAAATAGGAGGGGTGGGCAGAGGAGAGGGTAGAGATAGCCCATGCTCCCTGCTTATTTTGATCATAAACACATCAGCCAAAGATATTCAGTAAGCACGACAATTATACTGATGTTTACCTTTTTAGTAAATTATGCACACAAACTGCTATCACTGGCTAGTACCACAAGGCACTTGGGTAAAGTTCCTCATTAATAACAGTGGATGTAAACCCACATTTTGAACTGTCTCCTTGATGACTTCAATATTCTCTAGCTACTTTCTTGTTAGAGATGATAGATGTCTGTATCACACTGAGTGGCCGTCAGAGGGCTCCAGGAGGAGAGTGGTCAGTTGTGCTATCAGGCATCTCTTCCACTCATGGTCTCTTTTCATGGACCTTTTATTTTAAGGCCTGTCAGTTTGATGAGGGTTGTTAGGTTAAGACAAAATAACACAGTCTGTGGAGTCCACTGCCCACAGCACCTTGAAAGCTCAGCAAAGATGTCATGTCAACCCAACCAGGGTGTGGGACTTCCACCCCCAGGACCTCTGGCAAGTGAGTCTTGTGTGTGACCGATGTATGTGGCTGGGGTATATGAGGTAGTCCCCAGGTGCTGGAGGAAAGTGTTAGCATTTCCACTGATATCTACTGGGGAAAAGTAAGACACATTAAGTGTCACTGACATCATCAATGGAGAGGCAAGGGTCCTGATTCAAGATGTCTGGAGTGCAGCCTCACCAGGTCCCTCACCCTCAGTCAGAGCTATCTGGCCTGTGAGCTGTGGGATGTCCCTGATGTGGTCATTTGGTACACACATATTCTTTACACAGTAGAGTCTTTACAATAGTCTGTTGAGATGGGGAGATACTATGAACATCTCTGGTATTACCCAGAGGTCCTCTGATCATCTGCAAGGGAAAAACTTAAGAGACCTGAACTTAAGATGATTTAGTCTCACAAAAGACTAAATAATGTTCCAAATTCGCTGACCTTTCTGGGCCAAGAAGTAGCCATCAATCAAGTGCTTAGCAGGTATTTAAAAGGATGAATTTACTTGATCTGTTCCCTCAAGATAAAGGTATTTTACTTGGTATTTTAACAACCAATGAGAAAACAACCACTTTTAGAGGGAAAGAGCAAAAATGTTTTTTTGACGCTGATAGATAAAATTTTGAATATTTAAAAATATTATTTCTTCTCCATCTCATCCTTCAAAATAATCAATTTTCAGGTATATTTAGGAGTAAGTGATACATCAGGATAGCATGCATACATATTATTTAAAATACGTAAACATGAGAACCAGCCCTGATGGCCCAGTGGTTAAAGTTTGGCGCACTCTACTTGGCGGCCTGGGTTCGGTTCCTGGGCGCGGAACCACACCACTTGTTTGTCAGTAGCCATGCTGTGGTGGTGGCAGCTCACACAGAAGAATAGAAGGATCTGCAACTAGAATAAACAACTATGTTCTGAGGCTTTCGGGAGGGAAAAAGAAAAAGAGAGAGGAAAGACTGGCAACAGATGTTAGCTCAGGGTAAATCTTTCCCAGAAAAAAAACACGTAAACATGAAATAAATGGTTGCATATTGAAAGAAGGTATGGCCAGAGGGGACAAAGAAGTGCTTGTCGGTCCTGTAAGCCCCTCATTCTGGAAGTTCTGGATGGGGGCATATCTGAAACCACCGTCACCCGCCTTTCCCCATTTCCCAGCCCCCTGGAGGGCTTTGTCTTCTGGAATAGTGTGTCATGGTTGGTCTGTAGGGTATGAACAGAGTGGCCCCAAGAATTTGGAAATAAAGTTGCCCTCTGAGAAGTAAATGAGTAAAATGTACCCTCTTTCAATGAGATGATCCTTCTGACCTGCAGAAATAAACCAAATGACATCTGGAGATGCCCCAGGTGATCAGTGAGATCATTCATGAAAGCTGGCCTGGAATGGGGTTGTGATTTAGCAAGGGAAAGTCCAGTAACCTGTGGAGTGCCCTGTCTGGAAAAAGACAATGGGACCAAGCCAGGAATGTGAACAACAGTATGGCCTCTGAACCACTAGCCTCAGTGTCGGGATGGTCACTCATTAAAATGCAGGTTCTGGGCCCTGCTCCAGATCTCCTGAGTCAGAACCATTGGTTGGAGCCTAGGTCTACACTTGACCAGCCCTCCCAGATGAGTCCTTTGCACACTCAAGCTTGAGGGTTCTTGGCCCACAGTGAAGGTGTGGGCAGTGTCTGCCATTAGGACAGGACACCAGGTCAAGGTAATCAGGAGAGTACCTTCCCCACGCAAGGGTCTCTGCTTTCCAAGTCTGAGGGCCCCCCACACCATCTGCCTTAGGAGACGAGACTTTGACGGGCCAGCAGGGGTACTGAGGGTTTGGCATGAGGAATGGTGTTAGTGACAGTGAATCCCTTGGCCCTCTGGTATACACATTCTCATTTCCTTCCTCGGTCTCTAGTATCTTGACCAGCACCCTCACCCCAATCAGACCACTATGGGCAGTGAAGAGACCACACCAGGATCCAGGGACCTCGTGGGGGTCACCAACTGCCCATCTCCCTGGGGAAGCCTCTACAAGACAAAAAGCCTTTTTCTCCATGGGCAGCAGCATGTATCATTTGGAAGGCTCAGCAGCAAGGTCTGAGATAACACAAAAATGGGGGACCCACGGTAGAGGCTGGCTGATAGGGGAGGACTCTGTGGCTCCCCAGGGCTGACTAGAGCCAAGTGATGACCCAGGGATGAAGACTGCACCCCAACATCTCTTGCTGGCTCCCTTCCATCTCGGTCCTCCAGTATCCAAGGCTGCCCTATTTGGAGCAGGATGACTCAGATCCCATAGCCCCCTAGCCATCTAGCTTCCCATCACATTTACCTTGCTTTTCCCTTAGTGACTTCTGGAAATTTAGCGCCTCCTTGGTCATGTCAATCTCCCGCTTGATGGCATTGATGCGCTGTGTGGTCTCGCTGGCCCTTTTCCTCCGCTCATTTAAGATGGATTTGTTTTCTTTGAAGATGCGGTTAATCTCACTACCTCGCTCGTTCTTAAAGTCCTCAAAGGCCACAGGCTTGGAGGGTGGGGTGCTAGGCCTGAAGACGGAGATGGAAGAGAAAGGAGAAATGGGACAGTTGTCTTAGAGCCACCAAGCACTTCACCTTTCTTCCATGGGGCTTCGGTAAGCAGAAGGCCAGAATTTCTGAGTACCACCTACCCCAGATGGAAGCTCAATTGTATAGGGATCATTCCTTCATCTCTGTTTCACTAGGCACACAAGGGCACATGACCATTGCAGAAAATGAGGAAGCAAGGAAAAGTGTAAAAAAAAGAAAGGAAAACAAAAAGCCATTCACTATCTATTGGCAGCCACACTTTGGTGTATTTCCTTCATGGATTTCTTTGATACATTTTTAAATGTTTGGGGTCATGCAGTATATATAGTTTTACGTCTTACTTTTTTCACAGAAGCATTGTTTCATGCTATTAAAAACCCTTAGAGAACTCTAGCTAATGAGATGTAAGATGACGTGTTGGGGCAGGGGGAAGTGGATTGTCTGAAACCTATTTTGAAATGCATCAAAAAAATAAGATGGATGGAAGGATGGAGGGATGGAGAGAAAGAGGGACACATGATGAAATAAGTATAGTTAACACATTAATTGTAGAATCAAGAAGGTTGTTCACTACACAATTCTTTCAACTTCTCTGAATGTTTGGAAATGTTCGCAAGCTAGGGGGAAAAATTCTTCATGAACAACCTTACACATTTCAAGAGCAGAGATAATAATTCACTTGGTGCCTTTTCCCTAATTTTTTCAAAATTTTTTTTTTTTACTTTTTAAATTAATGATGCAATGAAAGTGTTTCAAATTTTTTTTTTTACTTTTTAAATTAATGATGCAATGAACTTCTTTTTGCATAAATCTTTGCCCACATCTCTAGTCATTTCCTCAGGATATTCCTAAAAACTCAATTACTGACTCACCAGGGAGAGGAACTTGGTGGTTGGAGGAAGGGGTCTCAGACCTTGAGAATTTTGTACCTTTTGAATGCATTACTTATTCAAAAAATATGTAAACTTAATTATTTAAATAATTGCTATTTGGAGGGTCTAAAACGATTCCATATATAATTGTGCATCTTGGGTGACTCCTGAGGTTGGACCATTTTGCACGTGCATAAGCCATCATGTTTCCTCTTTTTGGACTGTGCTCCCAGTCTTTGCCCACTATCTCCTATTTTATTTCTCTTCTATCTGCAAGTGCTCTTTACATGTGGAGAATCACACTCTGGTTTTGGATGATCTGGTGCAGGAGCTAGAATTAGATGGTCACCTGGGTGGGCGTAATTCTTCCTTTGGGGAGTCCGAGGAAGGGGGCTCGATGTTGGAGGTCTCCCGGTCCCGCAGAAGCATGTCTTTGACATCCCCATCCTTGGAGGATGGGGTCAGCTGAGTCTTAGAGATAGAAACATCCAAGTCCTTGCCACCCACAGGGCTGCTGGCACCTTCCTTTCTTGCTGAGGAGCTGGAAGGAGAAGACAGGGAGACCCCAAGGCTCAGTCATGGGCAGTGAGATGTCTCCAATGCTGATGGGAGTAACCTTTCTCAGTCCTCATAAACTAGAAGCCCCATCCCACTCAGTGCCCATATTGATCATAGACCTAGGCCAAAGGGCAAAAAGTACAATCCTAAGCCATGCAGATGCGGAGGAAGAGAGCATTTTTCTCCCTTTAATCAGAACAAGCAGCCCTCCCTTCAGCAATCTCAGCAGGAGACACCTGGGAAAAATGGGCAGTCTCCAGGTTCGAAAGCATGTGGTCCTGTTGGGTGGGCCGCAGCCTCCCAGGAGCATCATGACTGCTGAGGTATTAGTCACACAGGTGTCCCTGGGAAGGAGTGGCAGAGCTCCACCCAGGGTGGGTCTGTCTGCGGGCCAATGACAAAGCAGGACAGGTTTGCCCTGCTGCTCTGACCAGTCCACAACCTGCTCTCTCCACCTACATCAGTGTCCACACCAGCTCCCAGGAAAGTAGGCACCCTCCCTCTCTAAGTGATGGCGCCTGGGATCCTCCCTCACAGAGAGGCACATCTGGGCAGGCCTGGACTGACAAGAGGATGCCCCCAGCTCTTTCCACCGTTTCCTCCCCTCTTCTTCTTGCAACAAGTGTGCATTGGGGAACCAAGCCTCAATCCTCCTGTTATTGCACTAATCACCTGGTGGCAGAACAGAGAGGGCTAGGGTGTGACTGCCCTTCCTGAAGAGGCCAAGGGCATCAGCAACCCCTGCTACCCAACTCCTGTCCTGTGTGTGACAGTTGTCTACAATCAGCCTTGGCCTGTGTCCTTTTACAAGTGATAGTAACAGCAACAACACGTTTCTACTGAGTACTTTCCAGGGACAGGGACTGCACTCACTCACTTATCCTCACAACTCCAATGACTTTGATGCAATTATTATTATTCCCATTTTAGAGATGAGGAAATAGACACACATACCTCACACAAGGAGACCCCTTGGGCAAAAGAAGTACAGAGCAGGGAAGTGAGCCCAGGCATCACCTCTGGAGCCTGTGCTCTGGCCCACAGCTACCCAGCACTTCCTGGGGAGGGTGGCTCATTAAGTGAACTTTGACATCCTTCCCACCTTGCACATACAAATGAGTCTTGCCTGAAAGGTGAATTGGTATTTTTAGGTGACATGACTGCTAGTCAGCTGGGACACAGAAGGTCTCTGGTTGGGGGTGGGAGGGTTTCCACAGGAAGTACCAGAGGGCAAGTGCTGGCTCGGCTTCTCACTTTGACTGCCATTCATTAGTGGTGTGAACTTAGAAGTAATTCCCCATCTCTGAGCCTCAGTTTCCTCATGAGTAAAATGGAGTCATTAACTCTCACCTCATGGAGTTGCTGTGCAGATGAGAGGTGACCAGCCCCAGCATGGGCCCCACAGATGTTGCTAGTATTGGCAACAATGAGGTCCACTGTGACCACGCAGTAGCTAAGACACCAGGGGGAAGATGGAGACAGCTTGTGTCCTCCCTTTCACCAGTCAAAGAGGGTCAGGTGCTGAATAGGCAGAGCATCAGGAAGGTCACTCACCTGAGTTGGTCTTTGAATGTCTTCTTGGACTTGGCTTTCTTCCCAGGTTTGGCAGAGAAAGGGGCAACCCCGAGTCCAAAGCCTTGTCCGTCAGGCTCGCCCACTAGGTGGCCATCAACGTCCATAAGCCCTGCCTGGATAGAGGCCAGTTGTAGGGCCAACGGTTAGATTAATGGTTTGGGGCACTCGTGGACCCAAGTGTATATGAGCTGAAGGCTCAGGTGGACATGTTCATCCCACACATCAAGAAGTGACTGCTGCTGCTGCTAGCTTCAGGCTGTCTCTGACCATCCTACCAAATGTCCACTTTCCATATCAACTCTTCTCACTGATCTGTGGTCTCATCCTGTACCCTGAGGATCTTAAGGCCTGTTTCCAGCCTAACTCCAGGAACTGGTCTTGTTTATTATTAGCCGTGTCTCCAATTTTGGAGATCATTTTGAATTCATATTTGGTTTACTTCTGCATGGGTCACCCCATGCTCATCCTGGTATTATCTTTACCTGTTGCAACCCTAGATCTGCTTTAATGCAGGACACTTGCTGCCTCTGGAAAGATCTAGGGATGGAAAAAATCTGACATGAGTCCTGTCAACAAGAGGCAATCGTGCTTACCTTCTGGACAGCAGAAATGGCTGCAAAGTCATTCTTGTCTATGAAAGTGTACTTCCTGCGCAAAGCGCACTCCACTTCCTGTTCCTGTTGGCTTGGGATAGAGAGTGAAAGAACACCTTGCACCTGGGGCCATGTTGAACCCTCTGGGGCAAGAACCAAGTACTGAAGTTAGAAGATATTTGGGTGAGGCCCATTGTGATGGAGCCACGCCCTCATCATGAACCAGACCAGATAAAACAAGCTCATTTCATGCCCCCTACTCCCCAGTGCACACACCCAATGTCCAGCCCAAAAATCTGCAGGGGCCACCCATATGTGCCAGGAACATCTGCTCCCAGATGACTTAAACAAGGACTATAATCCTGCCTTGGGACCATGCTTCCCCACCTGGGTTCTGTCTCTAACAGGCCCTTCAGAATAATGTGATCAGCTTCTGTCATACCACCCAGCATGAGCTGCTCAGGCTACCGGAATGTCTGCATGCAAACAAACCGCAAACACCTCCTGAGATGGGGTGGGGGGAGCAGGAGTGTTCATGATGCCCTGCTGTGGCCACACTCAGGGCTGGCACTCCAGAAGGACCTCCTGTCCAAGTAATAAACTCAGAAAACATCCACCAGGGACTGCCTCCTCTTTGAGTAGCCCTCAAATGGAGTGCTGTCCTCCCTACTTCCCCCTGGTTAAGGGAAGGGCAGGAGGATTTGAGAGCTCAGGAGCAGACACTGTCAGGGACACCAAGAGCCTGAGCACACCCTGAGGACTCTGATCTCACTCCTCACACACGAGAGATAAGGTGGTGCACTTGGAGGCTGCATTCAGACCAGGGGAAATGAAAATGGCAGCCTCCTGTAGGAGTTGGGTGGGTAGGGAAGGTCCCTCACCTCAGAACCACCCGGAACTGGTTGAACACCTCCTGGATCTGTCTGAGGTTGATTATCTGGAGGGAAGAGAGCAAGGCAGAGGTTAGACCTCAGGGGCCACAGAACCGAGGCTGTGTCTATGTTAGTAGAGAAACCAGGACCCCTTGGCTAATGCTTTGACCATCTGTCCCGAGAATGGGACATCTGTAAACAGTCTCTCAGTAGAGTGGTAGTCAAGCCCTCCTCAAGAACAGAGAAACACCTGATTAATAGTTTTTCAAACTAAGTATTTACTGAGGCTATAAAAATCACCCTTTCTAAGTGAAGATCTCTATAAAATTAAAATGACTTTAGTCCTTGAAAATACTAAAAGAAAAATTTTAATAAAATTTATTGTCCTCAGCTCTGTCCTGCTTCCAAAAGGTTCCATTATGAGTTTTTCTTGTGTGAGGTACAGATGCATACATACCTGTGGCTGGAAGAAGGCCATTGACCTCCCTCTTGGCCCTCTAGCCCACAAGCACTACCCCTAACAGAGGGTCAGTCTGGGGCTGCCCCTGCCAAGAAGGCCAGAAAAGCCCACCCCTCAGTTGTCCCAGGCCTGCCTCTTGTAGCTGCCCACAGTAATAGACCAGGGGGATCTGCCCATGTAGCTCCCTGAGGAGGAGTTTGCTGGCCTGCACTATAAAAACAGAATGCATCTTTCCCCCTGAGCGCCCTTTCCTCTGTGGCTGCTGTCTCTTCCTCCTTGGCCCTCTCTGACATAGGCCCTGGGGGTCTGCCTTGTAGACAACCAGCATGATCACCATGCTTTAACAGATCACTCCACCTGGCACTGCCAAGCACCTGAGGTCCTGCAGCTCAGTTAATCCCAGCTCAGTTTCCCTCCCCACTGTACAGACAAGGCCACCAAAGTACATGAGGTTGAGCATTTTGCTGAAGTCACTTGGCAAGGAAACAGCTGAGCTGGGATTCGATCCAGGCCAGCCTGGCTCCACAGCCCATGCTTGTGCCCATAGTGATGAACCACCTACTGTGTGTCCAAGGCTGTTCAAGGCTGCTGGCCACTCTATGGGGCACCCACAGCCTTATAACCCTAAACATGGAAGCTGAGGCATCGGTGGGCTGAAGGGCCCCTGAGGCCAGGGGTCCAGCACCACCCACCCTACCCACTGCACAGTGTGAGGTTCCAAGGCCAGCACAGCACAAGTCATGGTGTGCCCAGGACAGGGAGGCCCAAGCCCACTGGGCATGGTGGTCCCAAGGAGGGGCTCCTTACATCGATCTCGTCCAGCGTCCCCTCCAGGTACCTCCGCACTTGGGAGTTGATCTCGGCAATCTGGATTTCATCCATGGGATCGTAGTTCACAAGGCTGCGGTTAGCCTTGGAGGAAGATGAAGAACATGTTGATGAGCTCCAAAAACCTGAGCCCAAGTAGGGATGGCAGGGGTCATTCTGAGAACCAAGGTGGGGAGGTTGGGCATAGGCCCTGGCCGCTCAAGCGAGCTCCATTCCCTTCACCATCAGGTCCTGGCAGAGAGGGCCTGACTCACAGGTGCTCAGGTCAGCAAAGGACAATCGGGTCAGGGAGAAAAGGCAAGGGCCTGCTACTCCAAGCAAGGAGGCTATGCTGGCTGAGTCTCAGCAGACTCTGTAGATGAGCACCACAGGAGGAAGGTGGCTGCCGCTGCCTTGAGATCCCTCTGGACTAGGAGTATCAGCCCAGGCAGGTCACTGAAGGACTCCTGCCCTCACCTCCTTGCCCACATGACTCCCTGCTGCTGCCTCTCCCCTACCACCCAGCCTGCCCCACCTCCCCCTGACCTTGACTCATCGTGCTATCTACCCCTGTACTTCTCCCTGCCAGGCCCTTGGCCCCCTGCCCCTCATTCTTATGCCTACTGCCTACCTCTGATCCCTGACCATCTGACTCCCCTGTCCACGTCAGAGGATGCTCTTCCAGTACCCCTGCCCACTAGGCATTGCTGGCCCCCCAGACCCTCTGCACCCCACCCCAGTCACCCTGCCTACTTGGTCCTCCTACCCATCTGGTCCCCTCCCCACCCATTCCTCTGCCTATGCACCTCCCTCTGCCCATCCAGCATCCCAGCTCTGACTCCCTTGCCCCCACCCCCACCTCTAGCTCCTTACCAGGCTGTCATGGATAGCTAGCTCCTGCTTGAGCAGCACCAGTTCTTTCTCCAAGTTCTTGACCATTCGCTGCCAGGGAAACATAATTGGGGAGGGGGGGAGGGCGTGGGCAGGAGGATGGTCAGAGAGCCCACTCTGCCTCTCCCACATCAAACCTACAATTCCCCACCCTGTGCTCAGACATCCTGGCCTTTCCTGGTAATCCATGGAGTGTGATCTCAGCATCTAGACGATTCCTCCATACCGGCAACTTTTCCACAACTGGGGTGAGTTTAGGGTCTGAGGGGACCTCAGCAGTGCCCTGGCCTCTGCGTCTTACAGCAGAGAAGACTGAGAACAGGGTGAGCACAGGCACCCATAGGGCCACCTCAAACCCTAACTTCCAGGAGCTCCAGGACATTTCCAGTCTACCAGGGTAATGGTCCTCTCAGGGCAGCTCTTGCCTCCAGGAGCTTTCCATGCTTGGTGGTACCTTTTACCCTCCTCCTTCCCAACGACTGCACAAATGTATCACCATTCCCCACTGATAATCATGTATATGTTACCTCCCATTTTTTGCTACCACAAACCATGCTGCAAGAACACCTTTGTACTTACAGCTTTGTGTCCTTTCAGGTTTCCGTAGGGTAGCACAGTGATCTACGAAGCTTTCTGCAATCTGCCCCCATGACCTCTTTCCTCTGCTCTCCCCTAGCTTATACCACTTCCACCAAACTGGCACACTCTGGCCTCTGCACTGCCTCCCCTCTGCCTGGACACTCTTATCCCAGGTATTTCCATGGTTCACTCCCTTAGCTCCTTCAAGTCTTTCTTCAAAAGCTTCTAAATTCACCCTCTATGAAACTGCAACCCCAACCCCACCCTACACCACTCTTTCTTAAAATGTCACTCTACTTTTTTCATAGCACGCATTACCAACATAGCCTAGAGCAGAGCTGTCTAATAAAACTTTCTGTAATGATGAAAATGTTCTATATCTGTGCCATGAGCCACATATAGCAATTGAACACTTGCAATGTGACTATTGTGCCCAAGGAAGTTTTTAATTTTATTTAATTTTAACTAATTTAAGTGGCCACATGTGAGTAGTGGCCACTGTATTGGACAGAGAAACTCTAGAATGTATGTATTTTTGTTTTTAAATTGTTAAAAATTTTTAAAGAAAAACTGTACATATTTAAAGTGTAACACATGTTTTGATACACATATATGTAGTAAAATGATTACTACAGTCAAGCTAATTAACATACCCATCTCCTCACCTGGTTACCATTTTTTTGTGTAGTAAGAGCATCTGAGATCTACTTTTTTAGAAAATTTCCAGTGTACAATACAGAATTATTAACTATAGCTATTATGCTGTACATTAGATCCCCAAAACTTATTCATCTTATAACCGAAAATTTGCACTCTTTGATCACCATCTCCCCACTCCCAGCCCCTGCCCTCTCCCCTACTCCTGGTAACCACCACTCTACTCTCCGCCTCTGGGAATTTGACTTTTTTTTTTGAACTGAGAAAGCACACATTTTATTTTTATTTATCATATCTTTGCCCAAAAAGTATTTGAGGAAGCTTATATACACAAATAACTTGAAGACGGAACACGTCACCCTCTTGCTTCAGTGGCTCCTCCCTGCCGTAGTTAACCTCTATCTTCACTCACAGTCAGCTCAACGTCGTTTCCTCAGCAATGCCCTCGGTGAACTCCCTGATGAAGGAGTTCCAGGGGATCTCTCTTCCACAGCATTCATAATTTGACTTTTTTAAATTTTAGGTTCCACACATAAACAAGATCATGCAGCATTTGTCTTTCTGTGCCTGGCTTATTTCACTTAGCATAATGTCCTCCAGGTACATCCACGTTGTTGCAAATGGCCTATTTCTCATGTTTTGTATATATCTCTCTCCCACCCCCAGCAGACTGTCAACTCTTCCAGGGCAGACATTTGCATTTCTGTTTGTACATTAATGTATCCCAAGTGCTTCAAAAGCTGCCTGGCACACAATAACTGCTCCATAAATTTTAGGTGAATGGATAAGAGATCCATTTCTAGAAGCAGAACTGCTAAGACATTTACACAGGGACTTTGTGCTGAGAACCTTCACTGTGAACAAGGCTTCCTTTAGTTGTCAAAAAATGGCCGCTGGAGGGAGCCCCTGACAGCTGGATCCCAGGACTGGTGACCAAGGCTGTGACAGAACCCTGGCATCTTAGGGGCTCAAAGTAGAGCACAAAGCCTGAACTCAAGGCACATGATCAGGGTCCAAATCCTGGCTCTGTCCCTCTGGGCAGCCTCAAGATGGTCCTTCAGGTGGACTTCCCATGAGGAGAAGGGGAAAGACTAGATGGCCAGTCCCTACTCATTCCCACTCACTCCTCCCAGCTGAGGGATCTCAGCTCTAGAAAATGCCTCATGCCCTAGTTAGGAAAACTCTGGCCGAACTGTTGGGGGCCTCCAGCTTGGATGACTGTCCAGTGTGGCACGGAGAGCCAGACTTAGACCTCTGGGCCAGTCAGGTGATGTGGGGAAATGGGCCATTTTCTCCTACCGGTCACCAGCCTCCATGTCACACCCTGAGAGCATGGGAGCCAATTCCCCCAACGCCTGGCAGGCTTAGCGGCCTTCAACTTGCCCTCTTCTACTGACTAGAGAGAAGCTGCTTAGAAGCACAGGGCTGAAGCAGCAGACCCCATGGAACAGGGTCTAGCAGCACCTCCTGGCTGACCACCTCCCTTATAAAAATCAGGGCCATTTTCTGGATGGAGAAAAATGCCCTGGAAACAGCACAGACTCACATAAGTTTCCTGATGGTGAGGTGTTTCCATCTTAAACGCAACGAGGATAATTCAGAGAGTTCTGCTTAAGTCCCACACCAGGCTGGCAGCCGCTCTTGGCCTGAGAAGTTTCCCTATTTTGACCCCATTGCAGCTGCAGGTGTATCTCCTCTGGCAGAGTAGGATACCCCAGGTTTCTCTCTCCTGACTGTCCAGGCCCATGGCTCAGAGCCTTTACACCCCCTCACAGAATCACAGACTGACAGATTGGGTGGGTCGTTGGAGGTGAGCAGCCCAACTCCTTAGTCCACAGATGAATACCCTGAGGCCTAGAGTCTGAGCAACTCCTCACAGACAGCTAGTAGCAGAGGTGGATCAGGAACCCAGTCTCCTGCCTTACAGCCAGCCCCACTAGCCAAGGATATTCTGCAGGGGCTATGCCACCTCGTTGAAACAGGCATCAGTACTGAAGATGGTACTGGAAACAACTGGGCAATGCAGGCTACAGTACAGGAAAGGTGAAAACCAAAATAATTTTCCATGTCCCTCTCAAGAATGCATGCTTATAAAGGAAGATATTTATCATGAAGATTATAAACATATTCACATTTGATGACATGGAGACTTGGCTGTCCAAGATCAACAATGCAGACTTCAGAACAGAAATTACATTAAAGAGCACAAAAGGCCTTGCTGTCAGGTGCAATGCCCACCCAGCCAGGTTCATCGGGTGTTAATGTGGTAGTCCTGAGACAAGAGAACACCAAATATGAGAATAAGAAAAATAAATAAGAAAATCTTCAAGCTACAGAGAAGCATAGAAAATAATGCCATGAAACCTGAGAAGGCCATCCCCAAATCTAACTTTAACAGCATGCTGCCATATTGGCTTCAGTTTTTCTAGAAATAAAACATTTCAGATAAATGTGAAGCCTCTGTGTACCCCACTCACAGTCCATTCCCCCTGACACGCAGAGGGAGCCTCCAGCCTCAGTTGGTCTTTTCATCCCCACATGGTTTTCCTTTTACTGCACACTCACACATCCATTAATGATAACCAGGATTGCTTTGCATGTTTTTATACTTGGTGTAAATGATAGATGCTACCATTCAGTCCACGTCAATCCCCAAGTCAATTTCTCACTTGAATAAGTTATCCATGCTCGTAGTTCTAACTCTGGCTCCCTCCTCCGTAAGTCATTCAGCTGCTCTCCTGTTAAAGGCTACTGATCATGTCCCTAACTTTTCACTAGTGCAATAAGCAGGGCGAGCACTGCCCTCTGTTTAAGTCTCTTCGGGTGAAAATGCCTCTAGAATACCCAGAAGTGACCCTGCTGATCTGTGGAAGTGAGTAGAGTGCTAGCGAACACTTACTGAGCATTTACTTCATGACAGCACTGTGCTAAGAGGTCTCTACCCGTTATCGTATTCTGCACAACATCTCTTTGAGAGTGGATTCTATTATCTCCCCATTGACAAACGAAGACACTGAGGCTTAGAAATCCTATGTATCTGGCTGACACCAGATAGCTGATGAGGGAAAGAGCAGGTTGCTGAGCCAGGACAGCTCAAGGCAGGGGCCAGGGCTCTTAACTACTGTGCCAGTGGTTCTCAAGGTGCGGCCCTGGAACAGCAGCAGCAGCACTGCTGAGGAACTTATTAGAAACGTGAATCTTCAGGCCCCACCCTAGACCTATGGAGTCAGGAACTCTGGGAATGGGGCCAGAGACCTGTGGTTCAATGAGCCCCCAGGGTGATTCTGATGCCTGCTCAAGTTTGAGAACCACTGCTCTGAGCTCTATGCCCTCCTCAACCTCCACACCATGGGTTAGTTCCACAGGGCCAGAGGGACTGTTGTTTCCCTTCAGGATTCAGAATCTGGAAAGTTTTACTGGTTTGTCAGGAGCTTATGGCATGTGTATGCTCCTGTTTCCAGTAACTACGATTCCATAAGCATCTTAAAGGAAAGCCAAATTATCGATAAATGTGTTTTTACGTTACTAGATGTTGCCAAAATGCTCTCCAAAGTGGTTGTATCAGTTACACTCTGACCAGAAACAGATGTGTTCCTGTTTCTACACATTCTCACCATCATTTTGCATTGACCGAGAAATTCTAATTTTTGCTTGTCTGAGAGTGGAACTCCACTAAGGCTTAACATGCATTTCCTTAGCTAATGGTGACGTGGAGCATTCCCTCTGATTGGCCAGCTCCACTTGCTGGGAGAGGTCACTCAGGCTGAGAGGAAAGAGGTCCTGTAGTGACATAACCAGATGAGTCTGAGAGATGGTCCAGTCCACATTGATTTTGCTCCGAAACAGTTGGCTCTTAAGGAACTCTCATACGGAAGTCCAGGGTACTCAGAGGCCCTGAAGCTCACAGGTGAACTGGTGATGGCCTGACTTAGCCCTTTCACCTTTGCGGCAGCTCCCAAGGGGTTCTCCAGGGACTCTGAAGACTCTGGCCTATCCCACAGTGGAAAGGGACTGACCCAGGATTGCATGGGCATCTTTGGTTGAGGCTAGAAGAGAAGCCAGGCTCGTGTGACCTAGGCAGGAAACCCACACACCTTCCCCACAGTGAGACGCCTGCCCACAAGCACCTTAGTACCTCAGCGTCATACTTTTCGTTGATGGCAGGCTCAGTGGTGACAAGCTTCATCCTGCTGGCAAATCGCAGTGAAGACAGCTGAAAAACAGATCAGACAGACCTCTATGTTTTTAGCCAATTACTTGCAAGTTGAAATATTTGCAAAACAAGCAAAAGGAGTCCACTAGGAAAGATGAATCTCTGCATAGAGGCACACTCCCACATGGACTGCAGGGTCTCCTGGGCCCATTGAGTGATGTCTGGGGGATCCTGCCCAAGTTCCTCTGGAGGGGCAGCCAGCCAGGGGTAATTATGGCTGGAGGCCCATGAGGTGGCTACATAAGCAGGCATTTGGGAAACAGCCTTGACACCATGCCCCGCTGCACTGATGTTACATGAGGGGTGGAAAGCTGCTCCCTGGCAGTGAGGGGCAGCCAGTGGTGGGTGGTACGAGGCAGGCCCTGAGATCCCAGCTCCACACCACGCTGGGCTGACTCCTGGGCCTGAAACAGGGAAGCAGACTTGGAGGGGGCATGGGTTACCCAGAGTGGCCCAGATGAAGGACTGAAAGGGTTCTTCCTTTGGGCAGTCTGGGTGGGCCATTGAGAGCTCTGCTACTGACCAGCTGCACACGGCAGCCAGGCCTTGTAACTTCTCTGTAGCGTCAGGGTGACCTGCCTCATAGGGTCACTGGGAGACTTGGTAATGAGGTAGTAATGTGCTCCGGACAGAACTGGCCCACAGAGAGCCCTCAGGAAGAGGCCCCTGTCATTACAACACTGTCATTGGGGTTGCTTCTCTGTGCGGTGAAGTCAGACTCTTCTGCTCCAAGCACAGCAGCAAGTGTAGCCATGAGCCCCTCATGGTTACACCTGCACACACACGCAGTCACTGCAGAAAGCAACACAACCCATGACAGGAATTGTTTAAAAACATTTGTAGAAGAGAATCTTTAGCTTCCACACCCCCAATATGCTTTTGTCCCAAACTCAAAGACCCCTTCAGCAGCCCCTCAGGGCTCTGTGGGCTCAGGCCAGGGCCAAGATACTGAGTGGTGTGGGCACAAGCCTCTGGGGATGGTAGATACCAGGAGAGTTGCTTCCTGTGCAGTTACCATCTCAGGGGAGAGAGGGGCCTTCCTCTGTCTTGGAGGACATCTTTCTTAACCAGGCAGCCAGGCGGCCCAATATTCATATGGCTCCTCTTGGGGTTCACCATGCTTTATTATACTATGAGACCAGGAGGTTCCTGAAGCCTTTCTCTGGGGATGCAGCCTGCACGTCAGCTGGAGCTCCCCTCCCTGGCCTCCCAAGTCCCAGGGCACTGAGTAGGTGGCAGGAGAACCCCCCCTGGAAGTTGGGAAGATCCCTAATGCACAAAGCTGGGAGGTCGTGCAGGAGCGTCTTGCCCTGCAGTGTCCCTGGAGATGACCTGCTTCACCGAAGTGGATTCCCCAGATGACTGAAGCTTGCCTTAAACATCTACATTTGAAAAGCAAAATGTCTAAGGAGAGCTGTCCACATCTGTCTTATTTATGATGGGTGGCCCTTCAGAGGAAGAGGGGAGCCCTAGGCTGGGTACCCAGCTGTGTGGGTTCCATGTGTCACTGCCTTAGCCTGTATTCCTACCCCTGGTTCTCATAAGCTTCTTCTCCCCCCAGGTCACCTGTGTCCAGCTGCTGACTGTATCTACCTGAATCACAGCTCTGGCCACAGTCCTCCCCTACTGCAACCCCGTGACAGCCCAGCCACCTGCAGGAGAACAGCCGAGGCCTCAGCCTGACCACCAGGGCCCATCCAGCCCGAGTTTCTTCTTCTTCCTCTCTTTCCTGAACCCCCTCTTGCAGTGTCTAGATATTCCTGCACAGCCCACACCTTCAGGCCCAGTTTCCTCTGCCATGAACATCTCTGCTTTCCCTACCACCAAGCCAGCTCAGCGCCCACATTCCTCACCCTAGCTTCAGGAAAAATCCCTCCCTCCTCTAAAGGACTCATACGTCTGGGCCTCTCACATTACTTAGGGCCATGGTTGGGAATTCTGAGCCCCAAGGCTAAGTATGACTCATCTCTGCTGAGCTGCCTCCGACTACACTGCACATGGCAGGTGCTTAATACTTACCATAGCCTGGAACTCTGGTTGTTTTCAAGATTTTTAAACACGTGTTATTATGAAGAAGAAGGAATCAATATGCTTCTTGATTCCAATTCACAGGAGCAGCACCCCAGAAAGCATGGTCGTTGCCTCCACAAAGCTGGCTCTCAGCCTCCTCTCTTCACATAGGCTCCCACACTGAGCCCGTCTCCTGCCTGGCTAATTCCTTGACACAGCTTCTGCCCCTTGCTACTTGGTATTTGGATTCTGGCTGGGACCCCTCAGCAATTTTGGCTCAGACTGTTCCTCTGGATGCCTCCTTTCTTGACAACGTCTATGGTTAGTGTGCCAGCTTAGCTAGCCCAAAGCCACCTTACCCAGCCCTGGTACCCATGAGGATGGAGTCCAACCTGGTCACACTGGCTGTCTTTACATACCGTTTCTTCTAACTGGGCGGCGTCTCCATAGATGTTTGTCACAAGAACCATATTGCAATTTCCCCCTGCAGAAAGCAGGATACAGAAGGGCCATAAACCATGTGGGTTTTCCATCAGGACATTCCTTTGAGGCTGGTGGGGTCTATTAGGGACTGAATGTTTGTGTAGCCCCAAAATTCATATGTTGAAGTCCTAACCTCCCATGTGATAGTATCTGGAGGCGGCTCAGATGGGAGGTACTTAGGTTTATATGAGGTCATGAGGGTGGAGCCCCCATGATGGGATTAGTGCCTTTATAAGAAGAGAAAGAGAGACCAGAGCTCTGACTCTCTTTTTGGCCTCTCTCTCTATGCTATGTGAAAACACAGCAAGAAAGCGGCCATCTACAAGCCAGGAAGAGAGTCCTCATCACGAACTATCCCTACCGGACCTTGATCTGGGATGTCCAGCCTCCAGAACTGTGAGAAATAAATGTCTGTTGTTTAAGCCACCCAGTCTGTGGCACTTTGTTATAGCAGCCTGAGCTGACCAAGATAGGGTCAGAGAGGACACACCCAAGCATGTATGAAGCTGGGCGGCAAGGGGAAGAGGGAAGGGAGGGGGAGAGGCCAACAGATGTACCTAAAAGAGGAACCGGGGAAACAGCAGAGGAGAGATGGCGTTGGGCACAGAGGGGCAAGGGCAGGGGAGAGGGCTGTGGGCCAGGGCTTTGCTCATGGTGTCACTCATTTAATAATTAGACACCAATGACTGCTACCAGGCCCAACACAATAGCCTGGGAACACAAAGGATGACAAGACACCTGCTCCTCTACTGGGGAGGCTGTATTGGAAGGCAAGACATCATGGGAGAGGCCCTCCACCTGGGTCTTCAACGTGATGAAGGATTCTGGCAGCTGGTTTAGGGATCCCCTTTAGAAGCAAAGCCTAAGCAAAGGTTCTGATGAGTGTACAGCATGGCATGTCATGGGTGAAAGAAGAGGGCACTCTGCTTGATTCTGCCTTTGCAGGTGTGTCTGAGGTCACTGCCATGGGGAGGGAGCAATTCTATCATCACCAGCAGAAGATGTGCCAGGCTTGTTCCTCCTCCCTGTGCAACAACCACACCCTCACCTAAAGAGTCCTTCAGGGCATGGGTGAGCTTGCATTGCCGGAAGGGAATGTGGTCCCGCTTCTGGTCCCCAAGGGCAATGATGGCCTGCTCCAGGAATGACAGCGACTTGTTGATGTAGGTAGCTTCCTTCAGGACTCGGCCCTCTGACTACAAACCAAAGGGCAGTTCTGCTTCAGACTAAGTGGAGAGGCTGCCCCACCAAGAACACTGCAGGTCTGTGGGTAGGCCAAAGCCTCCTTCCAGAACAAGGGTCTTCCCTCAATGTCACAGGATTGTATTCCATCTTGGGCTAATATTAATACTCATAGGAACACTCGTGTAAACATTCATGTGACTGCTTGTGTGAATATGAATACTCATGTGAATATTCCTATGAATACTCACTTAACATTCACACTAATATGAATATACATAGGAATATCTGTACAGATACCTGAGCAAATAATCCTGTGAATATCCACACAAATACAGACACTCATAGGAATGCTCATCTGAATATTCTTGTGAATACTTATGCTAATACTCACACTCATATGCATACTTGAGAAGAAATACTCATGCAAATATTCATGTGAACACACACACTATACACAAAGAAATGCTAATACTAGCAAGGAGCATTTACTGAGCGCTTACTGAGTGTCAGCCACCTTGCTAAGAATTTAGGGGCCATCACCTCATTTAACGTTTACAAAAATCCTGTCAGGTAGGAACCGCCTCTATGTAGCAGCTGTTCCCCTTCTGCTAATTCTGTCCTTCCAGCTCCTCAGGGTCAAGCCCACACGCTCCACTGTGCCTAGCTCAGGACTGTGCTTATGAATGCCCAGTGACGATGGCCCATGTGCACGGGCCCCATGCTGGAAAAAGGCCTGTGGCTTATTGAGAAGGAACCTCTTGCTCCCCCGACTCACCCCAGACTTCCCCAGCCTTTCCGAGCCTGCTAGATCCACCAAGTTAATTTTGGAAGTGATGTACTTTTCATCTGATAAGGTCCGTGAATGGGCCTATGAAACATCCAAACAGAGGTTACACTGTCACAGGGAGAAATTTCTGACAGAGCAGGCCCTGGGGGAACCCGCCGCCCTCTCCATGCTGTTCAAAGAGCTCAAACTTACCTCCACGTAGATGGTGAAAATGCAGTGTGACCTGGATGAGTTTTTGTTCATCGTGTGGGAGGCTATAATCCTGTTGGTCTCTCCCTGAAGAGGAAGGAAAGCATACACAACATTTTGAAAGATTAAAATAAAGCATTTGGGTCATTTTTCAACTATACTGGCAGCTATCCAAGTGATCTTATGTCACTGCAGTCAGCTGGGTCTTCCAGGCAAACCGCATTTATAAACTGGTAGAATAGGACAAACTGGAGGCCAGACGTATACTTTCCCCCATTGCTGGGGATGCGTGACTTTGTATAGTTTTCTGAAAAGCAAAGTGGCAATAAGAATTAACAGCTTTATAAATAAGAATTAAAAGCCTTACAAAATTCATGAATATTGAACGATAATCAGTGCACAAATCCAGCAATTAGGGAACGACCTATCTGCAAATGGAATGTTATGCAGACAGGAAAATACTGACAATTAGTTCTTAATAATAGAAAAATGCAAAATCCAAAATCATAGCAAACTGACTTCAACAGCACATTAAAAGCTTCACACAGGGCTGACCCGGTGGCGCAGCGGTAAAGTGCACACGTTCCGCTTTGGTGGCCCGGGGTCGCCGGTTCAGATCCAGGGTGTGGACGTAGCGCCGCTTGGCAAAAGCCATGCTGTGGTAGGCGTCCCATGTATGGGGTGGGGGACGATGGGCATGGATGTTAGCTCAGGGCCAGTCTTCCTCAGCAAAAAGAGGAGGATTGGCAGTAGTTAGCTCACAGCTAATCTTCCTCAAAAAAGAAAAAAAAAGCTTCACACATGGCAACTAAGTGGTATTTACCCCTGGGATGCAAGGATGATTCAACATATGCAAATCTATCATTGTGATACACTACATTAACAGAATGAACGACAAAATCATATTCTGGTACGATCTAAGGAATGCAAAAGCATTCATAGAAGAAAGAATAAACAGCTGCCGTTACCAAGATGTTAATAATGGTCACTTCTGGGTTGGGGTTTATAGGTCATATTTCCCTTTTTATACAGGTTTGTGCTTTCTTCTGTATGTGAGCATATATTACTTTTAAAAATTAGGAAAAATCAATAATTTGTAATTTTAAAGGGGCAGCTGGCCCTTGCTGCTAATTCACAGGATTGGACCCTATGGCCAGAACACACTTAAAAGGAGATGTGACGGAAATGGCTGTTGTTAGAGAAAAAGGTCCTTGCGAGAGGGACTCCTGTCTCCTTAAAGGCCCGTGAGAAATGCTATGAACAAACTGCAAAGCAGTGACACCATGGCTCCCTGGGGAGAGTGGAACACCTGAAGAGGAGGGAAGGGCCTGGGCTGTGGAGCAGGCCTGGCTGACCCTGTGGCTGTGTCACCTCTCACTGTCTACCAGTCCAAGAAGGACTGCTTCCCACCAATGACTGAGTGTGGCAGGGATACTAATATAGATCTGTTCTTAGCTGGCCAACTTTGGCTCAAGGATTCCTGACTTCTTTACACTGAAACTTCTTTACACTGCCTGGCAGTCTAGGACGCTTCCACCCGACCTTCCTTCCCTTCACTTGAGGTAAGACTTGCATCATGACTTGATGGCGATCCAGCCTTACCTGGTTCCCTTCCTACTTCCTTGACACAGGAATTTCCCCTCACAAAATCTTTGCACATTTAATCCCATCTTGGCGTCTGCTTCTCAGAGAACCCAGACTAGACATACTTTTACAAGACTGCTGAATAGACGGACAGTTGACTTCTCACCAATAACAATGGAAACCATAACTTTGGAATAACGTGTTAATGTAGTAAAAGAAAACAAATGCCAAAATAGAATTTTATGCCCAGCAAAAACATCTTTGAAGATTGAGAGTAAAAGAAAGACATTTCACAAAGCAAAATATTGTTTATCACCAGTATGCTCATTTTAAAGGATGTACATCAGAGAGCAGGAAAACAACCTCAGATGGAAAGTTAAGGAGAAAAGCAATGAAAGTGGTAAATATGAGAGTAAATGTAAAAGAAGACTGAGTATACAAAACAGTAATAATAATGCCCTGCAGGGTTAAAACACAAAGACATAAAAGACAAGGCAACAATCCTAAAGTTCTTGTAGAATCCAGGAGGAGGGAAAAGGTTTTTATTAACTTTAGATTTTTTAGAAGTTTTTAGTTTTAAATATTTTATTTTGAAATGTTATAATATAGTAATTATAATGTTATGATAAAATAACATTTTCTTTTTATTTGTAAGAAGGAAGTTTCAAAGAAATGTACAGGGAGGTCCTCTGTACCCTTCACTCAGCCTCTCTCTATGATAACATCTTGCAAAACTATGGCACAATATCAAAATGAAGAAATTGACATTGGTATAATCCGCAGAGCTTATTCAGATTTCCTCAGTTATACATACTCATTTGTATATGTATGTATGTGTGTGTGTGTACTAACTAAATATGCAAGGTTATTTCTAGGATAAACAGAGAGAGAGAATACAAATATGAATAAATATATAACTTCCAAACTAGTAAAGGGAGAAACAAGTATAACAAAAAATATCCAATTAAAAAGAGGGCAAAAAGAAAAGTAGAACAAATGGAACCAAGAAAGCACACAATAATATGATTTAAACCCAAAAATATCAGTAACTACACTAAGTAAAAACGGGATTAAATGCTTCATTTAAAAGATAAAGACTGTCAGACACCAAGACTGAATCATGATGAAATAGAAAATATCAACAGATCAATTACTAGTAAGGAGATTGAATCAGTAATCAAAAATCTCCCAAGAAACAAAAGTCCAGGATGAGATGGCTTCACTGATGAATCTACCAGTGAATTATTTTTTAATCCTCTTATATGTTCTTTTCACAAAAAGCCAAAACAAAAAATTTACATACATTCAACTAACCTAAAATTAAGAATTTTTTTCATCAAATAACACATAAAGAGGGGGAAAAAAAGCAAGCCACAGAAAATAGAAGATATTTACAATACATATAACTGAAAAAGAACTAGTTTTCAGAATATACCAAATTTATACAAATAAGTAAGAGAAAGAAAAAAGACATCTGTAAAGAAAGTAAACAAAAGGCATGAACAGGGAAATCGAAGTGGTCAATAAACACATGGAAAGGTCCTTAATCTCATTGGTAATTAGGAAAAATGCAAGCCAAGACCACAGTGGGAAGCACTACACACTGGCCAGATTGCTCAAAATTTTGTCAGAATAATGGGATTTCTGATAACCTGCTGTGGGAACATACCATCATGGAAAATAGTTGGCATTATCTACGAAAGCTTAAGACACACATACTCTATGACCCAGCAATTGCAGTCCTTGGATTTACCTAGAGACATTCATGATTACGTGCACCAGATATACATACAAGGATGTTTCCAGAGGCATTGTCTGAAATATCCCCAAACTAGGAAAACCCAAATGTCCATAATAAGTAGAATGGATAATTAAACTGTAGTGTATTCACACAATGTAATACAATGATGAAAATGAAAAACACACAGCAAGAACATAGATGAATTTCACATAAAAAGTAGGTAACGGGTAAAAGAAATGACAGAATTCATTACATATGATTCCTTTTATAAAAATTTCAAAAAAATTAAACCATGCTGTTTGAGGAAACATAGGTGGTATGCTATAGGTGGTAAAGTTATGAAGAAGACCAAGGAAATGATTACCATACAAATAAGGAGAGTGGTTACTTCTAAGGGCATGAATAAATATTTATTCATGATAAAAACTCTTCACAAACATGGACATTCTTTAACCTTAAGCCATGAAAAACCTCCTGCAAACATCATTTTTCATGGTGAAATGTTAGGAGCAACAATAAGACAAGAATATCCCATTGTCATATGGGGGATCAGAATTGGCCACCCCAAAATATGTCTCTCTGGCTTGATTATTTTTAAGGACAAAATACTCTGAAGAAAACTTTGACCTTCCTGTAACTACCTAAGAGCATTGAAGATAGAAGGCCTGTTCCGGGAAGGAGCTAATACCATAAGATAACTATATTATAACATAAAGTAGCTGTGGTAGACAGGAAGGCAGTAGCAAGCCCATTTTTATCAAAGTTCTCTTTCCAGTCTCATTGTCTATAGATGGCCCAGCAAACATTTGTTTACCAAACATTTGCTTTTCCATCTCCATGTAAATTGCCTTCCTCCCCTCTGAAGTCCTAAACCACTACTCCCAACATCCTCCTTTGTCTTTGGCTAAAGATGGTATTTAAGGTGGTGAGCTTTGGCCATTTTGGTGAGTTATTCAGTTTTCCTGGGTTTCTCCCATGTATATATGTTATTCAACTTTGATTTTCTCCTGTTATTCTATCTCATGTCAATTTAATTCTTAGACCAGCCAGAAGGGACCTAGAGGGTAGAGGAATTGTCTTCCCCCACTACAGCTCCACTGCAGGGGGCTCTTTCTTCCCTGTAGATGCAAGGGATCCAGGTTTAAGTCACCCCTGAGGACACCAATGTGACTTCTTTTTTAAGTTTTATTGACATCTAATTTAAATAGTGTAAAATTTTACTGTCTTAAGTATAGAATTCAATGACTTTTAGTAAATTTACAGTGTTGTGCAACTATCACCACAATCCTGTTTTAGAAATGTTGCATCAGTCCAAAAAGTTCCCTCGGGCCCATCTGCAGTCACTTCCTGCTTCTTCCCCCAGGCAACTGCTAATCTGCTTTCTGTCTCTACAGATGTAGCTATCTGGACATTTCAAACAAATGAAATCATACAATAAGTTATCTTCTTTCTTTTACTTAGCATTTTTTTTGAGACTCATCCATGTTGTAGCATGTATCAGACTCCATTTCTTTTTATTTCTAAAGTTTTCCAACATATAGATGTACACCTTTTGTTTATCCATTCACCATTTGATGGAATTTTGGTTATTTCCAGTCTGTGGCAGTTATGGATAATGCTGTTATGAACATCTGTGTACAAGTCTTTGTGTACACATACACTTCCATTGCTCTTGCTTAGATACCTAGGGGTAGAATTGCTAGGTCTTCTGATAAAATTAATGTCTAACTTTTTAGGAAATTGCCAAAATGGCTGCACCATTTTACATTTCACCAGCAATGTATTAAGAGTTCCAACCTATATTACCTTTAAAAGAATAACATACACTAGGGAATTTTTTTATTGATTTGTAAGAGCTTTTCTATATTAAGGATGTTAATCTTTATTTTTTCTATACCAAAAATGCCCATTATTCAATGTTAACCAAAAAAGGGACAATTTCGGGGCCGGCCCAGTGGCGCAGCAGTTAAGTGTGCACGTTCCGCTTCGGTAGCCTGGGGTTGACCAGTTCGGATCCTGGGTGCGGACATGGCCCCGCTTGGCAAGCCACGCTGTGGTAGGCATCCCACATATAAAGTGGAGGAAGATGGGCACAGATGTTAGCTCAGGGCCAGTCTTCCTCAGCAAAAAGAGGAGTATTGGCAGCGATGTTAGCTTAGGGTTAATCTTCCTCAAAAAAAAAAAGGGGGGTACAATTTCAATGCACGGGAAAAAAGACTGGAAGGAAATAAACCAAAATATACATTATTGTTGCCATAGGTAGAAAACAGATGAGTGAATTTTTTTCAGTCCTATATTTTTTCATTACTATCTGAACTTGCAAAATGAGCATATATTAATTTTCATTCTGGTTATCAAAGTATGTAAAAAACTAAGAAAGAGGGAGAGAATAAAATAAAAAAAGGGATGGAGGGAGGAACCCTTAGACTTGATCATCTCACCTCGAAAAGGAGGCTGAATGCATCTTCCTCCTGACTTGTGAGGTGGACTGACAAGCCCTTAATGAAGACCCCTTGAGGGTTTTCCACGATGGTCATTGGTGTGACTGAGGGTCCAACATAGGGCAGAGTGGACAGAAGATCAAACAGGCTCTCATTATAGATTTCCAGGTAGGAAACACGCACAGTGATGGCATGTGTGGGGCGTTCTTCAATCATCCTAAAAACCTAGATGGAAGATTGACAGCAGTCACCAAGAGCAGAATTTCAATGACCAGCTAGTGTTAGTGGAGTTCTTACCTCAGGAGGAAACATCAAGAAGTACAATAAGAAAATCTTTCCCCTAAAAAAGTTTAGTCTAGTTGGTGTGATGGTCATCATCATCAACAACACTATGATTATTAGTCCATCAGGTGATATTTATTATCACCTTGTAGTTTTTTGAGGCCTGACTTATAGGTTGGATAATATTTATACAGTCCCAAGAAGTAGAGGCATGACGAATGGAAAGTACTCTGAAGTGAAGATCTCTTGTTTTACGTAGTCTCACTCTATATAAGCCTCTTTCACATCCATTATTTAATTCCATCCTCATAACTCCCCTGCGATTGAAGCAGGGCAGGGCAATATCCATCTGTGGGAAGCTCCATGTAATATAATTATTCGTCTATGATCACTCAGGTAGTAAGGGAAGAAGCCAAGCCAGAACTCAGCCTTCTCAACTCCTAACACCCTCCTCAGTACTTATCAGTAATGACTTTGGTCTAGTCTTTTCCTCTCTCTGGACGTGGATTTTCTTATCTGTCAAATGCGGAACTGGGCTCGACAATCCAAGGTCCCACTTTGCTCTAACAGTCTAGATCTGTGCTGTGTAATATGGTAGACACTAGCCACAGGTGGTTGCTGAGCACTCGAAATGTGGCTAGTGCCAATGAGGAACTGAATTTTAAATTGTATTTAATTTTAATTAATTTAAATTTAAAAATTGATACTAAATTCAATTATTGGTAAACTTTTAAGTATGTTTGGAACAACCTGGGTTTATAAATCTACTTTGTTGACTGTAAATTTTATGAAATCTAAATACAGATCAAGTATTTTTGATGAATATTTAGTCTCTCAATCGAAATGTACTGTAAGTGTAAAATACACTCTGGAATTCAAAGACTTAGTATGAGAAAAAGAGTGTAAAACATCTCAATAATTTTCATATTGATTACATGTAGAAATGATATTTTGGATATATTGAGTTAAATAAATATATTATTAAAATTAATTTCACCTGTTTTACTTTTTAAACCATGGCTACTGGAAAACTCAAAATTGCATATGTGACTTACATTATATTTCTATTGGGCAGTGCTGGGCTAGACTACTACAGTCTAAGATGTTAAGATACTGAAGCTTTGACAATGGGATATTAAGGATATTTCTTCAAAAATTAGAGCATGAATGGTTATAAACTAGAGGGACAGCTACACTTCTTACAGGACAGGGCTATAAAACCTCAAGATGCTTTTGAGGAAAATCCCTTTGCCTCCTACCTCCAAAGAGAGGACCCTTACAGAACCCAGGTTAGTGGACCCCATAGGCAGGCCCTTCTGTGCTGTCTTCAGTCATACTTCCTGGATCCCCAGGGCTGACTCAGTCCTGGAAGCTCTGCAAGCCTCCATATTCTCCTCATTAAAACCAGGAAGGAACGTGATTAGGACCTCCAAATCCTCAATTACAGGATTACAGACCATCAGAGCAGCAAGAAGTCAGTCAGCATGTCCAACTCCCTCTTTCACAAATGAGGAAACAGCACAGGCGTGGGTCAGAGTCCGAAACCCGAACTCCCAGCTTCTTGAGGTTTCTGATACACACACACCCCACCATGTATATCCTGCCTCCCTACAGGCTGCAACTCCTTTGACACCTGGACCCCACTGTCTCCTGTAGCTGACCTGGGATCAGCAGCATCTATGGTAGAGAGGGCCCCTGTATGATATCCCACCCACGGGCCCACTCTCTACCTGCTGTAGAGCACGAGGGAGGATCCCCCGGTGCTTGTAATTCTCAGTTGCCCCCGTCATGGTGTATGTCTTGCCAGCTCCCGTCTGCCCATAACACATGATGGTGCCTGCAAACATTTCAAAACGTGTCTTGGTGACATCCAGGAAAATAGCTTCAAGATAGCTCTCCTTTCCCCCAGCATGCCTGTAGCCAGCCAGGACCCTGGTGTTAAGGCGGCCATCAGGAGCAGCCAAGGACATCAGGAATTCCTGCCCCTGAGGGTACATGGGCAAGGAAACAGGGACATAAATGGTCAAAACACAGACATCTGTTCTGAATCTGTGGTCCATGTAGTGTTCTACTGCTCCCTTTACCAAGAGAAGATCTGACCGTTGGGCCTCTGAGGAGAGCAGACAATCCCAGGGAACAAAGGAAGTGGGAATTTTCCTAGAAAGATGAGGAGGGAGATAAGAGCATTGAACTCCAGTCCTTCTTTTAGCAAAGCCATGAACTGGCAGGGTTTCATGGGTAGGCCTCCCTGGGGGGCTAGCCAGGCAGAAGGCAAGAAAACTCCCAGGAAGAGATGGGAGTCAGAAGGGCATTTCCTGTTAATGGTGAGAATTCTTTGTAGACTGCAAGTTCCCACAGGATCAAACAGGGCTGCTAGCTGGTCCCATGCCACTGCCAGAAACAGACCACCATAACCAGATCCTGATCTGGTCTCACTGCCCCTTCTGGGAAGACTTTCACTTGTACCTCTCATGTCCTTTAGGTCTACCATGAGCACCAGGCTCTGGCATACAAACCACACAGTAACCCTGGGCTCTGGTTTCCATCTGCTCTTCCTTCTGGCTTGGTCGCCCTGAGCCAGACCTATCCTAAAGTCTGCTTCTGGGCATCTACACAGCAGACCTGTCCCAGCAACACTGGGCCACAGAAATCACTGTTGGCCTTTGCCACATGGATGCTCCAGTTCCTTTGCTTGGTAGGTTTTACACAAGGGGCCCTAATTCAGCATCTGAACTGGAGTCAGAAACAGCATCTATTAACCCAAAACAAATGTGCACGAAGGAGTCATTTCAACTGGGAATGAGAGCCAATTTGTGGCTCCAAAGCACCCAGAGCCCAAGATTTTTAACTTCCCTGGGCCTTAGTTCCTCTGTCTCTACCTCCTCAGGGCTGCATTCCCTCAGGGTCAATGACCCACACCTATGGATCACACACAAGATACAGTACAATGTTTTGGCATCTATACTCAATGGATTTTTAAAACTTGCAAACAGGGAACATTCTAGTCAACAGCGACTAGATGGGCAAAGTCTGCAAACTGTGATATATTCTTTCTAAGGATTTTAAAATCCTTTTAAGACTTTAAAACAATCTTAGACTGAACAAGTTTATAAAAATTTCCCAATAAAGCTGCTTTTAATTTGTAAAGAAAATCAAACTCTAACTCAAGTTTTTAGTGATACACGTAAATAATCCTATACCAGAGTATGACCAGTAGATTGACTGCGCTGGTAGAATGAATGGAAACAGCTCCGAGCAGGTAGCCAAGAGAAAAAATGTTTGGACTCCATCAAGCACATCATAAGGACATTATCTTCAAAACTAATATTTGAGAGATTTGAAACAGGACAACAGTTAAGTCCCCATGACCTATAGAGAGCCAGGGTCATTTAGTCTTCCTTATAAAGGTAGGATCCCAGGACATTGGATCAAGCCATGCGCACAATGTCATCAAGGAAGTAAGCTTTCCATCACAAGAACATGGAGGCAGACAAGCAAACAAAAATTAGTAAGTGAGGTTATATTTTATTTTATTCACCATAAAATACTTGCAACTCTTCCTCCAAAAGGGGTTCTGCAGGTTCTTACATAAAACAACAGTTAATTAACTAAATTACCATTATAGCCATCGAGGGCCTGAGAAATCACATCCTTCGCAACTGTCTCATAAACCAAGTCCTGAGAGGCATCATGGAGAACTCCATCCAGCTTGAAAGACCAGTCTGTCTGCTGGTTATTGACAACTCCCCTCCGAGTATCTTTTTTTAAGTGAATATCAATGCTCTAGGGAAAGAGACAGAGAGAGAAAGAGAGGGGAGAAGAGAGAGAGAAAGAAGGAGTTATTTGTATTTGTTAGGAAACTGGTGTAAAAAAGTTGCTGATAGCCAAGACCTGACCTGGAAGAAATACAGGAAGTGAACTTTAGGAAGAATAGGGACTCCCACATATGGGTTGATATTCCAGATGATTTCTTTGGGATGGAAGGAAGCTCTTGCAGGGAGACCACACGACCCTTAAGGTGGAAGGATCAAGAGACTGGAGCACTTACTAGTTTCAGTATGTCTCATCCTAGTTTGCAGGGTGCTGTCTGTCTTGTTTCCCCCATCTACGAATACGGAGTCAAACACAATCATCATGCTCTTATTAAACAAACTTTAGATCCATTCAATAAGCACTGGGAGGTCTTGAATTAGGCCAGAGAAAACAGTGAGATTGGTGACAGAAGCCTGGGCTTGAGCCGCATCTCTTTGGTTTTTGGTGGTGAGGCCTCCCTCAGTATTCTGTTGAGCACCCACTCCCACACACACGCTATGGGTCAATGTGAGTAATGATGAAATAACAGCTACAGAAAAGACTCTGGACTTCTCAGACAGTTACTCACTGGTATTAGAGTAAATAGAGGGTGCTTACTTACTTGTAATCAGCAGATTTTTAGACGCAAAGATTTCTAAAAAATATTTTAGATAGCAGCAGCTGGTTTAGGAACATATTGGGTTAGGTCAATGGTAGATTCCAGTCTTCGCAATGGGGACTTCTGATGCAAACAGACTCTCACTGGTGTCTTGGCCGTCTTAGTCCAGGAATCAAGACTTGGCCACAGGCAGATAAACTAACTGAGAGAGGCTGGTCCATTCACATATTAAATGCTCTGTTCTTCTGTGCTCACTGAAACCATGTCCAGCAGCGTACACTTCACAGGGCTCCACATGAGCTTGTTTCTGACTGCTACAACTTTTGAAACTTGAGCAGTTTACCCTCGAATTCCTCCCTTAAAAAATGTTTCAGTGCTGCCCATAGATCCACAAATGTTTGCTCAATGAAAACATTTAACACTCTCAAGCTGTCCTAAGCCTGTCATAGGCCTCAGAAAGGTTCCTGACAGTGGTGAGGACATGAGGATGGATAAATCTTTCCAGTTCTCTCGATAAGAGTTTCTCCCACTGCTCTGGCAAGTTTAACAGTAACCAACTTAAGACATTCTTACCGTACCCCCAGGGAGACAGATCTGATCACCAGAAAGTTTTATGAGTGGGGACAAATGTCAGTTTTTGTGTCAATACAAGGATAAAGGTAAATTTATTAACCAAAAAGAATCAAAAATGGCAGTTTCCTCAGCAAGAGCATTGCGGGGGAGTGGTTTAGATTTGATGGACTCTAGAGTCCATCTGAATTCTTACCACTTCTGTCTGGGTCCTTAAAATGGTGTTTGGAAACAGGGTCACACTGCAGCGAGGTGGCACAGAGAGGCCCAGCAGGTAAAGGCAAACGCATTGCACTTACTTTGTTGTCATCTCCATATCTGATCACTTCATGAGCAAAGTCATCGGTGGGTCTGACACGGACAAATGCATGAACTTTTTTCCTAGTACTCATTCTAGCTAAAAGGAAGAAAATAGCGAAATTGTAAGTAGCCATCATCAAACAACAATTAGAGGGGAGGTGTCATTCATTAAAAAGATTAGAAAAGAGTGATGTGCAGTCCAGCTTTCCTGGCCCTCTGTGAGCCCATCTTGCTTTCACTCCTTAGCGTTTCAGTGCTCTGCCCGCAGGACACTGCTCAACAAGTACATGTATTTCCTACTTTACAGGCTGCCTCACTATTGTCTACCAATGACCCCTAAGAGACTGAAACACAAAGCAAAAAGAATGCTCCCTTTAGTGGCCTAAACTTTGATGTGTTTTCTAGAAATGTTCTGTATCTGAGTCCACTTATGCTTTGCTTTATTCATTATATTTTCCTCTAAAATACTTCCTATGAAAGGCATTAAAACTAATTTTCTTTTCTTCATTAACATATCTTACTTCAGATGCAGCACCTCCCTCTCTAACTCTATTACACTAACTTCAATCAGAAAAAGATTCCTTCGAAGTATATTTAATCTAGCCCATAATCAAATATTCTTTCTTCTCTGGCACTCTACTGAGAGAAAAATCACAGAAAGTGCTCCACCTCCACTTTCCTTCCTAAAACCTAACTATATGCTCATCATTTTCTTTCAGGTAGACACAAATATATTTGTTTTCCTTCATTTATACCATCACAAATAATTAACATATGTAATAAAATGTTAAAATAAACATTTGATGTGGCTTCATGGAGTGGGATGAAAGCTTATAGATATACGCGATAGAGAGGCAGATTTAGGTAGATGACCTTCCCTTCACGTAGTGTTGTCCTATAATGGAAAAGACTTTCACAAGGGAAGGACCATAAGCACCATAAACAGTCAAGCTAAGTCAAAATACCAACTAGCAGAGATGCTACAAAAGGGATTGTTACACTGAAGGGACAGTTAATTGATCTCTAAGATCCTGTTGAACTAAAGCATTTTATAAAAATTTTTAAAAATTGAATTGTATAATCCCCCAAATCATCACCAAGAAATCTCATATTTTATTGGATATTAGTCTCCTCAGTCAAATCACACTAGGCTCTCTCCTGAGAGTGTCTGCGTAAAAATATTAATACTAATTGGACAGTAAATTTCAGTTCTAGCACTGACATAAAGTGGGGAAGCACAGAGGATTATTAAATAGCAGTAGTAACTGTACTGATTTTTACTGCTTTAAGGGGAACTTAAAACTTCATCAGCTCTTCAGGTGCCTCTGACACACTGATGACAAAGGATTAAATACTGAGAGAAAATGTCAAGAGCTCTAAGAAAAGCTAAGTGAAAATCTATCTGTAATCATAATCAATTGTGTTAAATCTAGTTAAGTAATATTAGAAAACAAGACAAAGGTCTACGAAAATACACTAAATAACTTCAGTGTTCAAAACTACTGTGTAAATTAACATAATACAATTTAAAATTGTTCCAAGATGAAACATTTCTAATTTTACATATAAATTTTTCTAAGATCAATCCAATATTTTTTCTTTCCTTCTTTTGAAATAATTTGAACAATATCATCAAGTAGCTTATGGTCATGTAGTCCTAAAACTAGGCTCTCAAATTTCAATAATTTCACTTTTATAGAACCATGAATATAAAGAAAGAATGTTAAAAACTCCTTTAGAGTTAATGCTCCACAAAGTACAAAACAGACTTTGACTAGAGACAAGGCCTAAGGGTCAGGATGCGTGCTGCATCATCCACTTCTCTTTCGATCCCCTGTCGAAGTTGGACCAGTTCAATAAGAAACGAGGCATCTGCCCCTAAAACAACCTGTACTTTCATGGGAACTCTAACAAATAAACTGATATGATATTTAATATTTTTAAAAAGTCAATTTTCAAGACCTTTACTGTAAAGAAAAGTTCATGCATGACAGGGATTTCTCCTTTTAATGACAGTTAATTATTTCACTTTTTAAAAAAGCACATTAAAACTTTACATGTATTATTTAAGAGAAGTTCAATGAGTGTTACCTGATAAAAATGATTCCAGGCTTTTAAAACATTAACATCCCTCCACATTTCTAGACACAACCTGTGGTGACCACTTGATTTCCTCTTACAATTATAGTAACTATCATCAGGTGGCATTAAGTATCTCGACAGAAGCAAGTTAAATAGAGACAGGCCCTGCCATTTCAGTTTACTGTTTCAATGATGTGGACAAAATTAAACTTGAACCCCTTTAGATGTCAAAGCAAATAAGCAAATATTGTACTTTCATATTTGCCTATTACAGAGCGTGTGTCTCCTTCCTCCACTCTGCAAGTGATTATTTCATGGAAGTCTTTTCCCAGCCACTGTGGGATCATTCAGACCTTTCAATTTTTAGAAAATGAATCTGAAGGGTATCCAGGTAAGCAAAGATAATGGCTTGTCCAATTTCGGTCCTAAAATTTTTGTCTCCAAAATTGAGCTCTAGAAATAAAAAGCCACAAATGGCTCTAACATGAATCCCAAACTGAGGAAACTGAAGAGAACATCTCATCTCTAAGTTCACTTTGATCTAGGCTATTGAGAAGTTGAGAGTAGAGGGAGGTATGTTTTGACTCAAGCAAATACTTACCCTCAATCTCTAAAGCTCTAAGAACCATTCCCCAGACCAATCCGAGGGCCCATCCTCCTGCTCAGGGAAGTTAAGATGCTACCCAGGGTGCCCTCCGAAACAGACCAAAAAGAAGAAGTAGGGCAGGTCTGGGGGCAGGTACCCAGGCCTCCCTCCCAGCAGTCCTCACTCACTGACAGCACAAGGGCAGCACAGGCAAGCTCCAAGCATCACCGTCCCCTCAGAGCCTGCCCCTTCTCTGTCCTGCAATTTGCCAACATGCACATGCAGTCACCCTATTTGTGCTTCCCAAGGCCTTCCCCATGCTCACACCCACGGCTCCAGACATGCCAAGAGTAATATACACTTGAGGCGAGCCTTCTCTATTAACTACACCCCTCTTGCGAGTCTGCTACATAGCAGCCCCTCAACACCCAGACATTTGGGGACCCCATGCCATCTTGCACTTACTGAAATAATGCTTGTTATTGTTCTTACGCCGCATCATTTGAGTGGGTTTCAACTCCCAAATTAAATTACAAGCTGCTTGAGGGATAGGACTGTGCCTTTTCTCTCTTTTGAATCCCCCATCAATGTCCAGAACAGTGCCTAGCATAAAACAGGTGCTCAAGAAATGGTGGGTGATAGTGATGGTCGTGGCTGGAAGTCGGAGGGTGGTTGAATCTCCATATGTGGGTCCATCTTCAGTCACTACTGAGAGAATCCCAAGGGGCATATGATGTCAGCCCTCTCCCACACCATCTCCAACCCCGAAGCTCAGAGCTCTTCCAGGAGGACACTTGGTTTCCAGGCACCTCTTGTGAGAAGCCATGTTCAGCTTCTCACCATGCCCTCCCTTTTAGTGGGCTCCTTCACCCTCAGGATCTTATAGAGAATACCTCTGTCTCATGTGTGCCACACTCTTAGCTATTTCTGGTGTAAATAAGTGAACCTCTGAGTGGCCACCAGGAGACCTCCTTGCTGAGAGGCTTGAGGTTTCCTCATTTGTTTTAGGGGTAGGAATGAATAGGATTGCCACCAAGCACCCCTGAAAGCTCGATGAAAGGTGACGGAGCGTCCGCTGGGACATAGGCACCAGGCGGGTCCCTATCTTGCAGCGCTCCTGCTCGGACCAGGGGATCTCATGGGGAGCCCTCATACCCACCAGAGCGGCAGGAGCATGTGAACCCACAAACACAGAGTCCAAATGTACCCAGCCTTGGGCTAAACAAAAGACTCGGATCCGAGCAGAACTGGCTTTTCTCCTTTTTCACCCAACATGTTGGACACCTGTGTGGAGTCTGGGAGGCAGTGGACCCTGGGACCATTCCTGTCCCTCTCTGGAGCGGCTTCCTCATCCGTAAAGCGAAGGGCTTGGACTAGCCATCCTGAAGCTCCCTCCAGTTCGAAAACTGACTAGTACATAAGAGTCCAGAAGACCTCTGGTCCTTAGCCTTGCGACCTCGGAACTTCAGGCGCGACACAGGACCCTCGTGGAGCCACGGGACATTAGATCCGAAGACCCTAAGCCGCAGCCAGGCTGAAAAGGCCCGGGCGATGCCGCGCCCTCCTTCCCCCGGGTTTCACATATCAAGCCAAGCCGGGGAAAATCCGGGCGGAGCAGTGTTGGGAATCCAGCCGCTGCCCGTCCCCGGGGCGTACACTCCCTCCCTTCTCCCCATCCCGGCTGCTCGTGGCCCCTGCTCACCGCTCCTGAAGTAGCGGCCGTCCGGCAGCGCAACCACTGACAGCAGAGACCGAAACCCGGCACGCACTGCTGCCGGGCTGTGTACACAGTCGCCATGGCAACGGGCGGCTCGCAGAGATTCCGGAAGTATCCGGATGGTGGCGGAAATGAGTCCGCGGTCCTCTGTTGAGATAAGAGTAAAATCAGGGCAGAATCAGGAGGACGGGAGACGGGACTGATTAATCTAGGAAGACTGCGGAAGCTGCCGGCGCGAAGCCAGGGTCAGGGATAGTGAGAGAACGAGGGCTGCTCATGAACCAGGAAGCGGGGCAGCAGGGCTTCCGGCGCAGAGCTGCCTGTGACTACGGCGGCCGCGCAGGCTCCTTTGATTCCAGCCCTGCGCTCCGGGCTGCAGTCGGCGCGCGCCCTCGCCCCGCCCTGGTTAGTTTCGGGCTGGCCGGCCAGGCCTGCGCAGTCGCGGCGGCCGAGGAAGATGGTGGAGGACGGCGCGGAGGAGCTGGAGGATCTGGTGCACTTCTCCGTGTCCGAGTTGCCTAGTCGCGGCTACGGCGTCATGGAGGAGATTCGGCGGCAGGGCAAGCTGTGCGATGTGACGCTCAAGGTACCGAGGGACTCGCGGCGCGGGGCTGAGGGGAAAGGAACCGAGTGGGGAGGAAAGAGGGGCGGCGGATAGGGGAAGAGGCTCTAGCGGGCAGAGGAGTGGGGAAAGGAGGTTGGAGGGAGACCG